AGCTTCATTTCGGACCTGCGTCTCTGGATGATTCCATCTCAAGCTATCACATGCTTCTCTATTGAAATCCACTGCCCATTTTGTTACAAGCTTAACACCATAGTTCGCAGCTCCAAGACATAAACCAGTGGACATCGCACCACAGCCAGAATACAAATCAAGGAGGGTGTTTTCGTATACATGTTCTTTTATTTCTGCGGTGCTACTTTCACTGGACATAATCGAATCCAATTCTCTGACAGCTTCAGCGTGTGGAAAGCTTATAAATGTTGAATAAGGTACATGATACATCATATCACAATAAAAGTCGCACTCAAGTGGAATCCTTTCTATAGACTTGATATTCTCATTGGGAGGAAAGAAAACTATATTCAACTTTCGAACAAGGCAATCGATGAGATTATCATCCTTAACTTCGGATAAGAAAACACGCTTGCTCTCAATGAACTTGTCAAGTGATTTAATAACAGTGTCCTTAGCTCGGTAGAAGCATTGAGCCGTGAAATAACGCATTCCATCTAAATCTTTAAACATGTAACGCCCCAAAATATACCCTAAAATTTATTGAATTAAATATCCAATTAAACAAAATATGTTTTGATTAAAATAAATTGTTATTGGGCCTTGGGCCGAAATAAAATGTGTTTTGATATCCAATATCACAATCATGATAAATCGCATAGAGATAAATCCAATTACTTGACTATTTGTGTTATCTTGATTGGAAACCTATGTAGAGGCCCAAATTAAGAAGAAATGAAGAAATCGTTTTATAATGTGAACTTTGAAATGATTTGTTGAAATAAATCATGGAAATAAATAATATGAATCTAATATGAGCACCTTTTTGAGTAAAGGTCAAACAAATTAATTTTGACTCTGTCAAAGTCAACCACCCACAAATATGATGTCAGAAAAAGTATAACGAATAAATATAAAAATCATATCATTGGATAGAGTTTAATTGTACGATCACAACGGTTCAATTGGAGTTCAATTCGGAGAAAGTTGGACCAAAAAAGTGTTCCCGACTGGGACCAATTTAGTCCCAATCAGGGACTTACGTTTAGAATCGGAGAAGATAGCAGCCCACTCCACTTAGCCGCCGAAACAGTCGAAAGGAGGTCATCACCGTGTCTGCTTCCTCTTCACTAAGGCTATATAAGGACCACCTCTTCTTACCCAATTCTTCACCATTTCTTCCCAAATTACTTCTGAGAGTTAGTTTTGAGTGTGTAGAACGCAGCGGTGCTGTCATCTTTGTGTGAGGTCGCCGGAGCTAGCCATAATCCTCGCTGGAAGTTTCGCCGGAAAATCTTCAAAACCTCCATTAAGCTTTGAGGTAAGCCAGTTGATATATCTAGTGACTAGAATGTTCGTATAGATCGTTTCTACGTTCATAAACAGTCGTTTGGTTGAGTTTTGTGTTTGACATGCTTGAAGAACCAAGAATCATAAACCATGAAATTGATGTTAAAACTATGAATTAATAACGCCAAAATGATCTATGAACCTTGGAGAACATCTCTATATAGTTTAATTGAAGTTCGGTGACTACAAATGGTTTTTCCGAAAAATGGACCGAGGTTGAAGACGAATGAACAGTGGCTGAAAATCCACAGAGTGGATCGACCCTCTTCCTTGGATCGATCATCTGGGAGTTTTTCTTCAAGTTTGATCGATCCAGAGGGCTGGATCGATCCCCCGAAGCTCTGACCCGAAAATTTGTCTGAAAATGTTATTTTTGAGCTCTAAAATCCTATTTTTGATACCAATTGATTATGATCATTATAAAAATGATTTATCACAATAAAAATGATGTTTTTGACAAATAAAATGTTATGTGATGCATGACGGTAAGTTCGGGTGTTAACACTCAAAGCTAGGCCGCTATTTGCTATCGAATGTTATGTTGATTGATGATTATGATGAATGATTATTATGATGATTATGGCTTGAGGAAACCACTGATTAAAATGATTATCAAGGATTAAATTATGAATTGAAATGAATATGTTGATGATTATAAAATGATTTCGATTGTAAGGATATCTAGAAGAACTCTAAGATATACCTAGGTTGACTTTGGTTTCTAAGACTATCTAGAAGACCTCTAAGATAGCTTAGAAATAGGCCTTGCGGGTATAATTATGAATATTCGGTGGCCTGGGTTAAAACGTACGTACGGGATCTACAAACCAAACTCGAGGAACTCGTTTGGGGATACCACCCAACCCGACAGTGAGCATTCCGCTGTTCGGTTTCTGGTT